ATAAATCGTAAATTTAAGGAAAATAAATTCTAGAGCTTTTTCTGTACCTGGTGCATCTCTCTCATTCATTAAATTTAGTTGTAAATGACGCTGTCGAAGTAACGGTTAATTTTTTAACATTATACAAGAATTGTACACGTTTTTTTTCTACATCCCCTTAGAGATGGGACATACGAAATCGTAATATCAATGGTTTAACATTGAAATCCGTGAGTAATATAAAATCGGAGCGCGGAATAAAAATATCAAATATTTTAATGGATTTTTTTTAAAACTCCTGTCAACTATACAGAACTATCGTAAAAACATACCAGTAAATTTTTATCAGTTGGGTTAAGTTATAAATCTACTCGTTATTCACGTAATCGGCCAAATATCTAGCGGGCGGGCGGCTAACAGACCAGAACCGGTTCCGGATAGAATTGGAAGCGTTATATGTGTAGCATCAACCCAAGGTCCCAGTCTTCCTCCCGCTAAACCGGGTGAGGTTGGTGCTCTGTAAAGCGCATGCGCAAATCTGGCTGTTTGGAATCTGACAATACAGAGATTCCACTCCGCCACTAATATTCGAAAATACAATAGCAATATTATTTTTTTTTTCCCACGTGTAGTATAGAAATTTGTAATAAGTACACTGACCATACGTCCTTTATTTAAGAGGACAGTCCTTTATTTCACTGCTCTGTCCTTTAACTTTATTTATTTTCTAAAATAGGCATTTTGTCCTTTATTTTGTAAAGTTGACGCAAAGTTTAAAAAAAATTTTTTTAATAATATATTGAACAAGTTAGTTTTGTATACGCCATCACGACCAGTGTTGCATTGCTACATAGAGCGCAGTAGTGCAGTGTGTCGCCAACCAAACGGCCCACTGACAGTACCAGGGGGTGGACACTCTTATGGGGATTTTTGTGATAGTTTTTTAACTCTCTAGTTGATGGATGATACACTTGTTAATTAAAGCTGAAGTTAGTTGAAAGAAAAAATGAGGGGTTTCTTCCTATTGTTATTAGAAAAGTGGTTTTAGCATTAGAAAAATCAGAAAATATACAAGCCAAAAAATTCAATGATGCTGTGTACACATTTTATCAAACGTGCATAGATTATCTAAATAATTGGGACATGTTTTTTATTGAAATAGATGTGTTTGAATGGGTCACATTATGCGAAATCCCTTTGTGGGCGAAAGTAGAGGAAAGCTATATCTTTATTTCGAATCATTGGTCCGTAAATATACTCGACGGTGAATTATTTGATGAAGTTTCATGTGTAAAAAAATATGTCACAAACGAAAAGATCGACGAATGGTGACAGAATAACCAGCCCTGCCATCAAAGGTGGATTGAGATTTTTGAACATTTTACAGCAAAAGAAATTGTTTTCAAAAACATTTGTAAAATCGTAGAATTTTCTTTGTCTCCCTGGATCTAATGCCCCCGTTGAACGAATATTTTCATTGGTGAATAATATGTGAACGAATGAAAAAACTGATTTAAAAGTAAGCACATTAGAAGCATGTATTTCCATCAAATACAACTTTCAAATGAACTGTATCGGGACATTCCAATTTTCAACGCGAGTGTTGAGTGTTGAAGTCAACAATTTGGCGTCACCAACGACGTTCCAACTCGAGTACGAAGTGCTTAGTTCCCATGATTCCATTCTCAGCAAGATGGGTTCCATTCAAATGTCTTACCAATTACCCACAATTCATTGGAAAGTAGCGGTCAACATATCTGTTGAGTGCTGAGTGTGTTGAGTCAGCGCTGACAACAGCACTACCTCAACGTTGAAAAAAGGAACGAATTTTAACGAATGTTGAGATCAGCGCTGAGTCAGCGTTGAAAATTGGAATGTCCCGTATGGAATTTTATGACTTTAAAGCGTGAAACGGCGCTATAAAAAAATTAATTCTACTGAAAAGTATCAAAATTAATGTTATTTAAATTTTTACAATGTGTGTATGTGTAATAATTCAGATTGTTTAAAATTTTAATGTATGCATTGTTGTATGCTACTATTTTCGTAATAAATGTTATAAACTTATGAATTTTATAAGGTATTTTTTGATTTTCTTCGATATGTCCTTTATTTTCCCCCAAAAAATATGGTCACTGTAGTAATAAGATACATAATGCGGTTATAATAAAATATTGTGCGATTATTTTCATATAATTAAAATTAATATGTATTTAAAATAGAAGGGAAGCGGCGCTTCCACCGCTTCTAATGACGGCACGCCACTGGGGTCGTATTCATTATTACTCGGTAAACCAAAACATACTGTAAACAAAAAGAAGGCTTTAACAAAGGCCCTTTTGTTGTCAGGCCTTTATGACTTACATAAACAGTTAGAAGACTTAAAAGCTGAATATTTCTATTATAATCCCCGCAAAATGTTAGACAACACATTGATTTTTATAAAAGAAATCATTAAGCCAGCGGGCCGGATATTAAGCTTTAATGGACCGTCAGTTTGCGATCCTGTTCTAGAGTCTAGAAGAAGCATTATAGAGTCGATGTAAAAATGGCCCGGCCAAGTTAGGATTTTTTTTTTCTGGGACTAAATCATAATATGATGATTAACAATCTTAATTATACATTGATCCTAGCTAAAAGTAGCATCGAAAGGGATTACGAACAAATTTATTAAGTACACGATGATCTTCATAGTTATAATATGCTAATTTATAAATATGTATATTTGAAATCGCAATAATTACACTTAAGCTAGTTTTTACGTAAGATATACAAATAATGCAAATAAGTGTTTCTGCAGGAAAGGGAGCAAAGGCAATGACGTCAAAATTATGTGACGGCTGCAGCCAATTATCGTGACGATTCACTCCTGTATTATAAAACACATAGCGCCACCTCTACTTTCAAAATAAGAATATTTGTCAACCGCGGTTATTTTTTGTTTGCACCGTAAACACAAAACTACTAAGCACATATTTTTTTATATATTATATTATTAACGTAGCATTGGAAAATGTAAATTATATTAATCTTCCTTACAGCTACACTTCAATCCTATTTATGTACACGGTAAGGCAAAGCGCCTCTTCTTCCACATTAAGGTAGATTTGTTTGATTAAGGGAAAATGTTATCAAACGTCGAAATAAAAGCAAAAATATCCGATTACGAAAGCGTATTGAAAGCGACCAAGAAAATATGTGGCGATAATTGCGAAATTTTACGTCAGGAAGATACGTATTTTAATGTACCAATTGGACGAATGAAATTTAGACAAGTAGAAGTGAGTATTAATACGATGCAATGCGCGCCATTTTTAAATATTATACGCTTCGGTTGAGCTAAATACGTGATGTAAACATTCGTAATTTTCACTTTAAACTAATTTTGATTTATGTTTTACATATATAAAAGTAGAAATACTTAAAACGGGGCTTTAATAAAGTAATCATATATTAATTTTCAAGCAAATTTCAATCGAGAATATCTAAATTGGGCTGAATTTTCTAAAAAGAAATAATTCAACAATTTATTCAAATAATAATCTTTTCTGACTTGGTTTTATTTCTGTTGTGTTGCTGTACATAGGCTGATCATAACATTTACAATCCAACCAGTGATACATTTCAGAATCAGTGAAAATGGGGTCTAGAACTGATTCAACTTTGGTTATTTTTTAAAATTTATTTATTTATTTGACGAGTTGAGTCCTACTGGGACCGTATTGAGATGAAATTGGTTTGTATATGGTACATCTGAGAATTTCCCGCACGGAATGTATTTGTGAAAAAATATGCCTGCTGACTTGCTATTCGATGATATTTTAGCTGAGATAGCTTGTCAGTTTCCTTTGATTTGATGTTTTTTGTATTCTATTAAAATTTTTTTGTATAAATTAAAATTTTATTAAACAAAATGAAAAATTCTAATATGGATATATAGTCTACTATAGGGATTAGATTTTTCTCATGTGGATACATACTATACTATACTAATACCAATGACATCTCTGTGGTACCCATTATTAAAAGTAAAAAGCCAAGATAGAAAGAAATGCATCCAATACTATAAAAACTTTTTAAAATTAAGTTTTTTTAGTTTTTGTACAATATAGTGCCAATTTTGCCTTGTCATTAAGAGCATGCTTTCATGTTGCAGAAATACAGTAAATCCATATATTTTGTATGAACTGGATAGATAGATTCCAAAAAATCACACCTTCAAAAATCCAGCAGTGAAATTTACTAAATAATAATGTTTTCGATTGGCTTCACTGACCTTCTTTGGTTATGATAGAATGTGAAAAATAGAAAGTGAATACAAAAGTTTAAAAAACAATATCTCAACTACAATTTTTGTCGTTTATTTATTTTAGAATTCTTGTTATCGTTTTTAAATTTTAGTATTTACGTTCTATTTTTCACATTTTATTTTATCATAACTGAAGAAGATCAGTGAAGCTGATCAAAAATGTTATTATTTAGTAAATTTCATTGCTGGATTTTTTTTAAAGGTGTGATTTTTTTTTTTTTTTTTAATATGGTAAACGTTGGAATTCTATTTTGTGTTCTGATCAATGGAAAGAGTCAAAATTTCAATCTGATATTTGAATATTCTATATTGCTGTAGATGGCTTTCATAAATCAAAACCATTAGTAACATTAGTAGATTTTAAAGTTTTTTTTCAAGAGTTATAAATATTGATAAATTGCTGAAAATTAAACTTAAATGCAGCTCAAGAATCTGTTAATATAATATTTGCTGTGTATATGATAGAATAGAATTGCCATTCTAAATCAATATTCTTGAAAAATTAAGAACTAATTAAAGTTTATAATAATTATATATATATATATAGAAACAACCAATGTAAGAAATTTCATGTATTGACTGCTTATAAAGAGCCACATTGTGTTTTAGTATTTTTTAAAATGCTATGATGTGAAATTTGTCTTGGAACTGTTGAAAAACAAAATGACCACAACATATTCCACATCAACATACCACATTGTTCATGATCATTTTATTCTTTAGTAACAAATAGAATTTAGGAAATATCTGCATGACTAAATATATATTATTAAAAACAACAGCCAACTTCAATTATTTTTTGCAGGAATTGTTAGCATGAACTTCTGTGGAGCCAGGTTCCAAACACAATACAACTTGCCAAAGATCACATAAAAGAATGTCACACTCAGAGTGTTTTTATGTTAACAGTTTTTTATTTTCACTAGCACTTTCAACAAACTTATATTCATTATCTTCAGGCAAACAAAAATTTTAAAATAAAACACAATATTCTAATGTAGATGGAATAAATATCATTTAAATCTAAATTAAAAGTAATTTATGTATGTGACCAAAGTTAGATTATGCAAGATATTGAAACAAAAAATAGTAGAATTTCTACACTGGAGTACTGTAAAATGCATGTACCTATAATCCTTTTACTGGTGTGCATCTCAGAACAAACTACAGAAAAATTACCAGCACTACAGAAAACCAAACTTACACAACCCTTAAATTTTTGAGATTAAGTGGTGTGATCTCTATTTTTTTCTTGATTGAATAAAATGTGAAATGTACTAATTTCAACTTGCTTTATAATTTTACAATTGGAACTATAGTTCTATCAGCAATAGAAGCTGAAATAATTTTACTCTTTTTGAAATTCACTGATGCACTAATGAATAGCCCATGCCTGATAATGTATGAATGCAAGTATCATTTACATGAATTTGATAGTTCTTTCTGAGCTATTAGTGTGAATCACTTTATAGGAGACAAAGACACTCCTGTATTCACTGTTCCTTTGTTGGCATCCTGTATACGTAATAAAATTACCATTAAATAAATAGTTTTATAAATAACAGTAAGTTATTTAAATACAAATAATAATTTACTCAGATAATTCAATTGGTTTTTTTTTTTTATTATTGAAATATTTAACTCCAAATACAGTACCAGGTATGTTATGTTATAAAATTACTATATTCTGGAATATCCTTATAAACTTTTTAAAAATAAAATTGAAACCAAACCTGTACTAAATGAAAATAAAATTTAAAAATTTTGAGAAATTTATAAACTTTTTTACCTGATTATTTAAAAACAAACTTTTTAAATGTTTTATATTTTAGTTTCTAACATAATTTTTAACTTTGCAAAAGTTGTGGTAAAATTAAAATATTTTAACTTTTAATAAATTTTATATTCATTAATTTGATTATTACTTTTTTTTCCTAAAGTTATATTTATAATTTTAGGGAAAATCTTCAATGTTAGTTTTTTACGATAGACCAAATAGTGAAGAACCAAAATTATCAAATTATTGGAAACAAACATTTGCAAATAAAGCAGAAGCTGATGGATTAAAAGTAAGCATTTTATAAAATTTATAAGCTTATATTATATATATATTATACAGTGATTCTTCAATTAACAAGAATAATTTATTTCAGAGTCACTTATTAACAGGAAATCTTATTAATTGAATCCGTTATTTTAGTAAGCTATAGGAATAATTAGTTCTCGCTTATAGAATTATTTTTAAATTCCATTAAAATGCTTTAATTTTCTTTTAATTTCAAATATTTATTTAAAAGAATTTTAATAAAATTTCAGAATCAATAATCTTAACATAAAAATGCAAAAATATTAAAANGAGTAGGGTTGGGCGGTTTGTTGATTTTACATCGATTAGGAACTATGCAGGGTTTAGAATTGATATATGTGCCTCTGCGGTTTCGTTTTCTACCCACTTGCGCTAAGATTCTCGAATTCGTTGCTTTCGGATTTCTCCGAAAATCGATCTCCTCTCCTTCTGGGAGAATTAATTTTTCCCTTGCTAAACAAATCATGAGCCCTTCTGCTGTAATAATGTCTCTCCCAAGAAGTCCGTCGCAAGGTTTAGTTATTTGATCATCTACTATATAACAAGAATATGAGAAACATAAAGGTCCTATCTCAAACCGGAATTCTTCCGCTCCGTACGTTTTTATTCCATGGCCTGTAACGCTTTGGAACAGTGTCCTTCCCCGTTTGTTGTTACCTTCAAATTGAGCTACTCTCTGAGCCAATGATTTAGATAAAAGTGTTACTTTAGATCCGGTGTCGATCGCTAATTGAGCCGGATATCCGTTAATTTTACAGAATAAACTCGGTTCTGAATCTTGATTTAATGATTTAATTCTTCCTCGATGTTGATATAGAAAAGGTACTTCCCTTCTCTCTGGAGGGGTGTCCGTTACGATCGGATAACGAACCCGATTATTTTCTCTATAGGTTCGAGAGTAACGAAGGGGGTCAGCCAGGTCCCTGAAGGGATCCCTTCTAAATTTCCTCCAATTTACTTTATTAATTCGCCCATATCCCGGTCGGTTAGATGGATTTGTTCGCATTCGAGCATTTCCTCGGCCTCTAGGTATATTAGATACATTTCCCGTGTTATATCGAGGAGCATATATAGATTCTCGTTGATCTCTATTCTCGAACCTCGCTCTCCCCATATTTGAATCTCGGGACCCTCGGGAGTTTCGGGAGTCGTCGCCCAGTCTTCCCCGAGATAGATATTGTGGTCGTGACTCTTGATAATTTCTAGGACGCCAAAATGATGAGGGGTTACGTCGCGGAATTCCTCGACCACGTTCTGAAGTTCCTAATTGTTTTAATTGTTCCTGGATTTTCTCTAAGGTTGCTTCTAATTGATTTTGATTTATAGCACTAGCTTCTTCCTTATTATCATTGGGATTGTTTATAGTTCGGACCATCCCTCGGGTTCTTCCTGTTAATTGGTCGATAGTTTCTTCACTGATAGCAACGCGTACTGCCTTATCAAATNAAGCTGACCATGAAGCAACCAGATTTTACAAAGTTGTGCAAAGAAAATTGTGCACATTTGTCACATTAAAATTAAATAACCTTATGCTATTTTCATTATTATTAGAATTGTATTTTAAAGGTAATAAATGTAAAAAAAAACTTATTTTATTTATCACTAGCTGTCTACCCACAGCTTTGCCCGCATTATATCAAATTTTCTTGTGGAAGTAAGATATTTTCTTGCAGTAAAATGTAGCCTATGTTCATCTCCAACATGTAAGCTATATCTGTGTCAAATTTTATTAAAACCTGTTCAGCAGTTTAGACATGAAAAGGTAACAGACAATAGAGAATTGTTTATTGGCCGCACTCTTTGGTATAGCCCAAGAAACATGAAAAGGAAAGAAGAATAAAAGTTTTAGGAAGAGTTCAGGTTGAAGATGAAATAAAGCGAGATAGGACAGAATGAAAGTTAAGATATTCGATGCAACCCCATGGTCACCGCAACACTTATTTACAACCAATGAAAGAAAATATTTACAAAGAAAACGTATATACAAAATTTGAATACAGTATTTACACTGAAGAGTTACATGCCGAATGTTGAGCTTTCAGTTATTGTAGCAATACACTATGAATAATGTAATAAATTTAACAGATACAAAGAAGCTATATTCTAAATTAAAAACTATGGTTACAAATTTAAACTCATACAAGTATAGATTTTACAAAAATGTAGTTTTACACTTTTGGAGTATATACATCAATTAACCTTGAAAATATATGAGATTGTAATACAAAGTTAACAAATAAGAAGCCCTTGCTTAGGAATATATTCACAAATTGTGTAACCATACAATAATATAGTGTTTCAAAAACTTATAAAAACAAAGAGAACCCATGTACAATTCTAGGTATACAGAATTACGATAAAACTCGTGTAGAAAGTAAATACTTTGTAGGTGTGGGCGAACACAATAAATTTAGTCGAGGATTTTTATGCTAGTGGCAAAGTTTTTTAGTGCATTAAATAGTCTTTTGCTACTCGTTAAAATTTTTAATAGGCAAGGCAACAGTTCATTTGCTGTATGCACAGAGTCTATTAGTGAAAAGGTAATAGACAGACAGAATTACCTTCGAATTTATAATATTAGTATGGATTAATATGAATTTCAGCTATAAGGGGTACACAAGTTTGAGCTCTTTCTTGGAGTGGTACGCAGGAAAAACTAATTGGGAACCACTGCTCTAAAGCATTGTGTTTGACATTTGTTAAAAAAACTTGATAGTTTGTAAGTTTTTCTTAAAAAAATCATAATTTTATTTTTGAATAATCCTATAAAACTACTATAAACTTCAAACATTTAATAAACTGTTCACTGATTAACAATTTATTTGTAGCATTTAATTTTACTTACATTTTAGCAAAAGTAATTTTGGTTAATGTTACCTATGGTTCCAAACTGGTGGCGCTTCAGTTAGGTTCATTTTGTTTCTTTTAGATTAGCTACATTTTTAGTAGATGTTTCCTTTTTATTTTTATTTATTTTGTTCAAGAACTACCGTGAATCAATAACTAGTGACGTTTGGCACTCTGTGGCCTGCTGGTGGCTCTCCTCCAGGAGGAGTCCGTCTGGACCACAAACCATCAGAAGCGTGGCCATTTTGGAACCATAGGTAACATTAACCGTATTTTTTTTTTTTTATTAAAGATTAAGTTTTATATCACAGTCCTGATATAATGTATATTTATGACTAAGTTGATGATTTTCTTCCAACATGTTGAGAAAAACAATTTTTTTTTCTGTTTTAAGAAAAAATACTTGATAATAGGCATTCAGAAATATTTAAATATATCAGTTGTTATTAAAAAAGCATTTTATTATTTGTTTTTAAATAACTACATTAAAGCATATTTAGTTTGTTTTTAAATCTTTTAATCTTATACTGCCAACAATTTATTTTTATTTTTTTAGAAGAGACATGCATATTCTTATTGTTGGATATTTTTTTAAATTTGATATAATGGATATTTTTGTTATTTTTTATTGGAGATGGATTTGGCACATCAAAAAGTGTTTCCAAATACTGAATTTTAAAACATACATTGCTAACTTTGCAGTTGCATGTGTGACCGAAGGGTCGGCACCTCTTTGGTGCCCTGTCAGGATGACACCACCGCGTCTCGGCGGACACGGAAGCCGCGTTATTTAGGTCACGCGAGCGGTCGCGTAACGGAGCGATCAGAGTCGAGATAGAAGGAGAGACAGCGCACCGGAAGTGATTTACTCAGACGCTTTTTTAACGTAACAACTGTTTAATGGTTAACGATAGGATATACATTAGGGCTGCTATTAGATACATTGCTCGCTTTAGTATATAATAGTATTTAGATATTAAGATATTAAGATATTACGTTTCTTCCCGTTTTGAGAGAGAGAGTTTACAGAAGTTCGCGTGTCGATATTTACCTTGTATGAAATCCCAAAAGAAGACAGTTCCGGACTCAGAAAACAGAAGACACAGTTCTTAGGCGTAGAAATATCCAAAGGCGAAGAAATATCCAAGGGCAAAGAAATATCCAAAGGCGAGGCACAGGGATAACTGGAGTGGTCCGAACGAGGAACTGGTGACGACTGACTCACTTTGTTGTCGTGTCTAATGTTGAATTGTTAAAATCGCGCTATTAGGTCGAAAGGTGCTGAGAAAGCGTCGTTATTACGCCTGAGAACTTAGCAGATGTTTAGCTCCCAGTTGTAAAAGTTGACAGTTATTAAACAAAAGTATAGCTGTACTGTGATCTTATGACACCGTGGAATGAAGGTAGAACTACAATGTGATATTATGATGAGATGATATAAACACATCCGAATTCGGAATCTCACACATGTCAGCACCCTCCTGTAACACATTAATTAGTGGTGGGAAGCTACTTCTGATTGCTATACTCAATGTACAGAAAAGCAGCGTAAAAACAAACAAAGATGGACAAGTTTTTAACAAATCATGAAGTCAAGTGCAAATGAGCATACTTACTGTACTTGGTCTTTTTCTGTGTTATATAGCTTTGTCATACACACATATGTCATAATGTATGATCTTGTAACATGTTTATATAGAATAAAGGATAGAAATCTCAAGAGACTGGATAATTTCAAGTATAAATATTTCTTATATGTCTGGGTTTAAAAAATGGAAATTTTTTTTGAATAGTAGATATTTTCCTGGGTGTGTGAGAAATCAGTTGTTCATAATATATGGATTCTTGGAACAATATGATTTTTGATTTCCTAAGTGATCCATTAAAATGTGATTATACTATTTGAGATTATACAATTATGGTACAGATAATCAGAAATTTTTAAAATCTTTTCTTTGCATGAAATAGCTCATTCTTTAGTTCAGTATGGAGAAATTTACTAATTGGACTATTACTTTCTGGCTGTTATAGAATATAATATGGAAAGCTAGTAACTGGTAAAATTTTGACTACTTTGGGTATTTTTGCATTTCTAGATGTTTTGAACTCCAGGAGGCTTAAAAAATACACACACAA